ATAAAATTTATACTAAAGTTGCCACTAGTATCCTGCATCCTTCACCAACCTTTGCAAATGACTCATGACAAAGGACAGAAGCAGCAACTTATTAATTAGCAGCAATTCCCCAGTGCAATGTACACCACTGCATTTTTGTAGTATAACTAGCCAATGGGATGTTTGCCATTAATTTATGCTCTATTCTTTACAGAATTTTTAAATTCAAATACCTGTATATTTCTGTCATGAACAAAAGGTACAGAAAGTGTAAGTTAAGATTTTCATTTTACCTTTCATTTTACGGATCTACATAGATAATTCATAGTTATTTTTAAAACTATGAAATAAATAATTTTAAAATAACAAAACGGCATACCCTTATTTCTCCATTGTCATCTCCTGTGGCCAATAATTCATTATTACTGGAGAAAGCACAACATCTCACACAGCTTTTGTGACTATTTAGTTTATAAAGAATTGACAAACTTTCAAAACGCCATATCTAGAAAATTTAAAACATATTGTTAAATTAATATTTCAGTACATTCATTTCACTGTGAACATTCTGGCTGTAAAAGATATTATCAGATATACAGATAAAAAGACTTCCACAACAGACTAAGTTGAAAAATTGCTACTTAAGTCAATTTGCAACACGTACAAGGACTATGGGGGCTCTACATGTGTAGTGGGGAGCATGGGCAGGGCTGCCGCCAAGATGGGAGAAGGCAGGCAGCTCAGCTCTAGAAAGTTCCAAAGACTGGCTCTGTGCAAATGCAAACTCAACTGTGTGTTCCACAGAGACCACAAACAAGAATGACACTTAGCCATTAATGGGTGGAAGTGGGAATGAAGAAGAGACAGGAAAAATAGGACCTGGCAATGCCCTCCTGGATTTTCACCAATAGATGCTGCTTCCATGGATGAAAACTTGTGGGGAACAATTGGCCCTCCAGACATTGTTAAAATTTAAATTCCTATCAGAACCATCCATCAGAGTTAAGAGATCCTGGGAGCAGTAATTCATAAACATCTGTAGGCCAACATGCAATTACTGCATTTCACATGTTTACTTACTAATTAGAAAACCACTCTAAAATAGCATGGCCTGATGTGGCTCATGTCAGGCACTTCTGAAGTATTTTATCAATAACAGAAAATTAAGCACTTGTATAAGTCTCTCATAGAAATTAGCTAGATATAAAATTGTGTCCCTTTGACTAGTTCATGCCCTGTATTTTACAAATATCAACACTTCTGTAAATATTTACTGACCTTAGCAGTCTTGTCAGCAGATGCAGTGGAAAACATAGTGCCATCAGGTGAAATAGCACAAGAAAGAATTGCATCTTCATGGCAAGTAAGATCTCTTTCCAGTTCTCCACTAACTGTGTTCCAGAGCTGCAACATTAAAATTGATCACTGAATAGTTCTCCTTGTACAGAACATACAAACAGATGTAAATTCTTTGCTTCAGAAGAACTTAGTAGCTGATGGATTTAAACCTTTAAACAATTTTCGTCTACTGTGTACTTTATAGTTAAAAATAGATTCTTACTAGAGGATCAGACAAACAAGAGTTCTGTGCTTCCCAACCTTGCCTCTTTCAGTGGATACCCACTCAGAGGCAGCACCCAGAAGAGGCAGGGCAAGGAAGCTGATGTGCTGCCTTTGCGTGGGTGCCCACCAGAGGTGGTGGGGCTGGGAACCGCCCAAAACTTGTTCATCAGAAGAACAAAATGGCACAAACCACTTAAGTAGCAATTCATACCTATTTCTAATTCCTACACATACCTATTTCTAATTCCTAATTCCTCTGGATGCACCTGATATAAAACAAAAGAAACAACATTTCAGGTGAATGACATTTCCTTTTCTGTATGTTTAAAAGGCCAGTGTAGTGTCATAGACAGAGCAAAGGGCTAGGACTCCAGAGGCTTGGGTTCAAATCTTGAAACAGCCATGAAAACTCGTTGGGGGTGGGGACAGTAAAATAATAGCAAAACCTTAATTATTTAACATACCTTGAAACTTACAGCAACCCGTTAGGGCTGCTGTAAGTTGCACATGATTTGACAGGACATAAGAAAGGAATTTTAGATACAGGCATTAATTTAAGCTGTCAAGGTGCTTTTAACTTACCTTAACTGTCCCATCAAATGACCATGAAAAAAGCCTTAAATGTTTCAAAAGAGAAAAGTTTTTGACAGGTTCATTGTGGCCTTTGAGAAAAATGCATTCCTCTGACTGCCAATTCCACACCTCGATAAAACAGACATGAAAATGAATTGGAAAAAAGATTTTTTTTAAAAAAAAATTCCTCAAAGACACTCACAGGTATTTTTCAGGACAGTAACTGTATTCTAAAGCACTTAGATCAAGTTGTTGATATATGTAACATTTAACTTGGAACATCATAATGGAAATAACTACCAGTATCAGAGCTTTCAACCATACGATGCATCTATTTAAGCAAAAGCACTGTAAGATTGACATTTACATGTCAAAATATATCAGTTATTAGGTTTTTCCTGGAAGAGAGAACTCAGGAGGTGATGCTGAGGACACCTTTTTGACACCCTGACTGCTGACTTGTAGGGTCCCCTCAGGGTTCTGTTTTGTCTCCTATGCTATTCAATATGTACATGAAACTGTTGAGAGAGATTGTCCAGAATTTTGGGTTTCAGAATCACCAGTATGCAAATGACACTCAATTCTACCTCTCCTTGCCACCTAAATCCAAGGTAACTACTTCAGCTCTAGATCAGTGTTTGGTATCAGTAATAAACTGGGTGAGGGTGAAAAAACTGAAACTTAATCCAGACAATACAGAGGTGCTCCTGGTCAGTCAAAAGGCAGATCGAGGAATAGGGATACAGCCGGTGCTGAAGTTAAATGTGGACTAATCAAGCATCTCTACAGCACCGTCTACGCGCTGGAATGATCCCACAGTGCTGTCCAGCTGAGAAAGAATGATAGGCATTCCTACTGCATTATGCTTCCAATGTCCTGAAGAACAGGATTCCTGCTGGAATTATTCCCCACCACCACCACCACCTGCTACTCTCCACCCACAGGTTCACACCCACAGGAATACCCTAATGAACCCCTAATTGGCAAAGGAAGCCTTTATTTGTTAGCAATTGATACAGCAATAGCCCCGCACAAGAGTTTAAGAGACTGTCTCCCCCAATGTGGTTTGTATATCTATCCGTGTCTCCAAGAGTGCAACATCATTACACGCAGCCATTCTGTTGATTATTTTCCACATATTACAGGTACATTTATCAATCTCCCAATGATTAAGACTTAAATATTATGACAGTTATCCAGATGTCCCAATGAAGTCATGGGATTTTAAAGTGCATATAAGTCTCAAGACAGCAATCCAGAGAAAAAAATCTGAAAAGCTAAAAGCACTGAAACAGGTATGGTTTGTATTGTCTCCTGCTTTCAGCATCTTTTTTTGTTTTACTATTTTTTGCAATTATTAAACACTGATTAACATCACAGTGTCAAATAATTATAAATACGTCATTTTCATTAATAAATTTCAGCAACTGGCATACAGCAGAATTTTTTTAGAAGGTTGGTGGCTAATCTGGAGCTAAAAATCCCCAAATAGTTCTGTAAAATAATTTCATTGTACTAAAATAAAATCACCACAGATTATACACTTACCTTTTCATTCTAAGGCAAGATATCTTAATAATAAACCTGAAATAATTCTTCTTGAATCAATTATGGCCCATCTAGTCACTTCCACTGAGATTCAAGAAAACATACATTTTGCCAGGCTGTACGTATTTCTTCAGAAACATTCTACACCATAAAACAATAGTTCAAAAACATCCACACACCTGTATAGTAGAGTCATCTGAGCTTGAAACAAGAGTGTTTCCATCAGAAGTAAACTGACAATGTTGCACAGCTTCTGTGTGTCCAGTTCTGGATTTTAAAACATTTCCATTTGGCAGGTTTATTACCTTTTTAAAAAGAGATCAGACAATGGTGTATAGTAAGGAGTTCTATGTGCATACACTATAGAAGGGCAGAAACAATAGTATAGAGGCAGACACTTAACAATTCTCTTTTTTAAGCCCTAGTACAGTGTATAGCCTCATGTTGCAGTGGTTAAACTGCAGTCAAGACTGCTCACAACCTGAGTTTGATCCCAACGGTTTAGACAGCTGGCTAAAGGTTGATTCAGTTTTCTGTCCTGACACTGGTAAACTGAGGACCCAGGTCACAATGTCTAGCCTGCCCAGAGAGTGCTTCATCACTATGGGGCAATATATAAACAGCACACATTGCTTCAATTTGCTTTGTTTTTAAATAAATCTAAATCAAAGTTTCTATTACTGGTATTTTCCAAACCTGCAACCCCCAAATGCAGATGTTGGTATGCAATTAGTTTTCTATGCACATTTTCTCAATTCTCTTAGCCTATTTTTTTGGCAGGCCACATTAGAGTCCTAAAACGTCCACATTGTTTGCCCTCCCAGGCCTCAGAGGGTCTATACAGAGAAGAAGGTTCATAAACACTCACGAAATATTGAAGGAAAATTTGTGGAGATCAAAAGAAATAATGATCCCTGCCTGAGGCATAAAAATTGATGTTTACAGCAATTCTGTATAATTCTAACAGAGAATTAATACAATTAAAAGAAGAAAATAAGAAATAAAGCTTCTTTGGTCTAGACTAAGGTCAGACACAGGATAGTTATCTGTATGGAGTTGAAATAGACATTTTGCTACTTCATTAAAGTGTGCTGCTTATATACTGCCCCATAGTGCTTAAAGCCTTTCCCCTAGGAAGCTGGGCTGAGGGTGAAGGCCAGGTCTGTTTGCATGCATGCCTTGCTGAGTTTTTTTTTCCTGGGCTTTCTTTTTGTCTCCTGAGCACATGGCCTGGGGGTGGGGCCTAGGGGTGGGACTTCCTGATTTAAAAGAGCGTGTCCCAGGATTTTATATCTGGCCTTAATATGGTAAATAGGAAAGGCAATGAGATTTGCATAAGCCGGGGAGTCAGGAAAGTTTTAAGGATCAGATCATACTTTTCCACTATTAAAGAGCAGGACGGGTAGGTGGGGCTCGTCAGCCATGGAAGGCAGCCCATCTAGGAGAAGGAAAACTCCGATTTCAAACCTCCACTCCCTTGTGGCTATATCCACTCATGGAAAAGGCTTCAGGAGTTAACCTCGAGGCAAAATCCGGAGCTGGAGTCCCGAAGGCAGCATGTGTCGTTCTGCCAACTCCTGCGACATTGCTGGAACCAGTTGTATTGGCTCTTGCCTTTCCATTGGACCATTTCAGCAATGTGGAGAGGGGGGATCAGCTGCTTGGGTAACAGCCTATCCTCCATATTACCTTACCCGGGCTTCATGCTCTGGAGAGGACACTCCTCAATTCAGAGCATGTTACCATAGTCTCTCGAGACTGAAGGATGCCTATGCTATGCTAGTGCTTAAAACATTCTCTGGACAGTTTACAAGTTAATTATGCAGGCTACACATTGCTGCCACCCCTAGTAAGCGGAGTATTCATTTTACCAACCTCACAAAGAAAGAAGGCTGAGTAAACCTTTAGCTGGCTACCTGGGATTGACCCCTGGATTGTGAGCAGTTTTGGAAGTAGTACAGCAGTTTAATCATTGTGCCACGAGGCTTCATTAGCACAGCATCAACAGGTTACTTATATGTCTGTGATCTCAATAACATTTAGTATTCCATATTACATTTTACACAATCAGTATTGTTTTCAAAATAGATACATGTAGTGGTACACTACATATTAAGCACTATATAATACATAAATATTCATTAAAATGTGGAAGAAGATAACTGGGCAAAAGCTACTGAAATTAAAGCTCTCACAGAAGAATGATGCCTTCATGACTTGAAACTGAAGAGGCTAACATACATACAGAGATACATTAGCAAACTAATATTTAGCTCTAAACTATTTTCTACATTAGACTTCAGCCTGGAAAACGAAATGGAACACAATGAATTTTGAGGAAAGTAGATATCAATGCTTCATTTTTGTCTCTCTCAGATAGTCTACATCATTAGGTCTTAGGATAGGGAGACATAAAATCCATAACACCTACATATTCTTTTATTAAGCATGCTTTGCTTTTCACTGGATCATTTCTCACAAACACAGCTTACCTAATTGGCATGGAACTGACAGTCATTCTGTTCTAATATTTATCATATGGTTAAATATGTATTTTTAAAAACCAAAACCATTAAGTTAACTGAGCAGGAGAATGTACTATGTATGAATACTGGAAACCCTATTAATCTCTGCAAGCTAACATGTTAGATTCTTTGGGAAGAAGGGTACCAAATCTAAGAAAACATGGCTCGTTTCAAACTCGTTCTTACAGGCTTGGGCTGTGACAGCCTAACTGCTATTTTGTCATATTTTTACAGTATCTTAAATGATCTCAGCTGGAAAACACAAGTACAAAATTCTCATTCAAAAACGTAACTACCTTACCTTTACTGTTCCATTCTTCTGTCCAAATGCAGCAACCTGCAGATCTTCACTTAGGCAACAACAGCAAATGCATGATGCCTGCGTTTCAGTCAGATAAACTGTATGGCCTGTGTTTCCATTGATTAGCTACAATACAACATATAATTGGAAAGCATTAGTGCACATTGTACTCTAAATTCCAAAACAGAGTACACATTAAATTTTACGCACACTTCAATGAATGAAATGCAGAATACATGTTTTGTTTATGACCAGTCATCTTTACAAACTCTATGAGAACTGCTAAGAACAGCTAGTTACAGAACAAAGCAAATGGGAATCTGAATCCAGGGGTTTTTAGAATTTAATGCCAAACACAGATGCCACAACGTTTTTGCCTTCTTCTCTTTTTTAATTATCTTCTTTTTGCCTAATATGCTAATACAGACTAACATGGCTACCTTTTAAAAAACAAATTTCTTTTTTTTCAATGACAGAAACAGCCAGGGTGATGTAGGAAGTAGAGTCCAGCGTTCAAACTTTTTTGGACAAGGAAATTCATTTGTGGGGAAATGGGAAACAACCCCTTGAACACCTCGCATACATAAAAAACCCTACTAGGATTGCCATGTCAGATCTAATTCACACAAACAACAAAGCCAAATGGATTTTACAAACTAATGATATATATGACATTTTATTTATGTTATTAAGAAAAACCTGGTAGTCCTTGCAAAAAAGCAGTTACTATTTGGGTTGTTGTTTTTCGGGCTTTTTTGCTGCAATGCAAGCAACATACATGGATTAACTCTGAATCACTGGATTATCCTTCTAAATAATGACAGGTTACCCACCTGTAATTGTAGCTCTTCGAGCAGACCTCTGTGATTCACACCCTGGGTGATCCGTGCCTGCGCGGAGCCTCATCAGAAAGTTCTAGAGCTTCTACAGTAGCAAAAAGCATATTAGAATAAGGCCCCTACCCCCTCATATAAGTACCTTGGCGCAAAGGCTTCCCTTTCAGTTGTGTCAATTGTCGCTACATTAAGCAGAATGGCGTGACAGTGGGGAGGACCGGCGGGATGTGTGAATCACAGAGGCCCACTCAAAGAACTACAATTACAGGTGGATAACCTGTTATTCTTCTTCGTGGCCTCTGTGAATCACACCCTGGGTGACTAAAAAGCTGTCTTACCCGGAGGCAGAGCATCACACCAAGGTAGAGGCTAGAACAGCATGTCCAAAGGTCACATCAGACTTCTGTCGGAGATCAAGTCTCTAATGCCAGATGAAAGTGAATGGCTGTGCCCAGGTGGCAGAGGTGCAGACGTCTGTAAGAGGTACAGTACGTAGGAATGCCATAGAGGTCGCCACTGCTCTGGTAGAGTGAGGGCGAATCACCTTTGGGACTGGTTTGCGTGCCAACTGATACGCGAGCTGAATGGTTGAAGCAACCCATCTAGATATAGTTTGAGAGGTCACCTGGCAACCTTTATTAGGTGGTTGGTGATTTATGAAAAGTCTAAGTGAACACCTGAAAGGTTGGGTGCGTTGGACGTAAAAGGCAAGGGCTCGCCTAACGTCTAAATTGTGGAGGATTATTTCTTGTGGATGGTGACGGGAAGAAAGAAGGAAGGATAAACCGCTGAGAGAGATGGAATTGAGAGACGACTCTGAGGAGGAAAGAATTATCCATAGATAGTTTGATTTTGTCCAGAAAAAAAAACTGTACATAGAGTGGTCTTAATTGACTAGATAGGCGGGATATAAATAAAATAAAATAAATAAATAAATAAATAAGGATAGGCGTGACATAAGGCCGCTAACTCACTAGTTATCGAGCTGAGGTGATGGTGATGAGGAAAACTGTTTTTAAGGTAAGTAGTTGTAAAAATTGAAGCTAAAGGTTTGAAAGGACCTTTAGTAAGTTGTTGCAGTACTAGTGTTAGTGACCATTGCGGGGACGGTGGGCAGGTATCTGGGTAGATATGAGGCAGACCTTTAAGAAAGTGTTTCAATGTTGGATGCTTGAAGAAATCAGCTGCTGGAGAGTTAGGGGCTGATAAGAAACTATGGCAGAGACGTAAACTCTGAAGGAAGAGAGGAAAAAGCGGCTAGACTTGAGATGAAGCAAAAAACGTAGAACAGTAGCAAGTGATGGGTTGATAGAAGGCAATGAAGAAGCTTCAGTGAAAATTTGAATCTCTTCCAATTATATACTGTAGGTAAGCCTTTCTAATGGAGGTCTTCTTTGATCGACAGAGGACATTCATTAGCGAGGCAGAATCCTCCATGCTGCCAGGTGCAGAACAGGTAAGTCTGGGTGGAGTACTTGGGCGTTGTTCTGCATGAGGAGGTGGGGCAGGCAAGCGAGGGGGTGAATGTCTGATGAGAGATTGTGAAGGACTTGAAACCAGGGTTATCTCGGCCACCAAGGGGCTATAACAATTGTCTTGATGTAGGCAAACCAAGACCTTGTGGAGAAGCGGAAATGGCAGAAAAAGGTAAGCGAGAATCTTGGGCCATTGGCCAACGAATGCTCCTCCTTGGGAGTATCTGCCAGTGCCGGCTTGGGAGCAGTATCATTTGCACTTCCTATTCACATGGGAGGCAAAGAGATCGAGAGTTGGTTTGCCCCATCGTTCGCATAGGTGAAGAAAAACTGATTGGTCTCACTCCTATTCGTGAGCTTGAGAGCTTGTGAGACTGAGTAGATTGTCTAAGTTGTTGTTGTGACCAGCAATGTGTAAAGCTGTGAGACAAATATGATGTGTTAGGCACCACTCCCAGAGGTCAACCACTAAACAGAGGAGACGTGGAGAGTGGGTGCCACCTTGTTTCAGAATACAGTGGGGTCTCGACTTACAAACTTAATCCGTATTGGAAGGCAGTTTGTAAGTCGAAAAGTTTGTAAGTCAAATCAGCATTTCCCATAGGAATGCACTGAAAACCAATTAATCTGTTCCGGCTGTTTTTGGTTCTTAGGTTGAGGGGCATTTCCCATAGGAACTAAGGCAAAGCCGGTTAATCCGTTCCTACCACTAGGGGCAGAATTTCTTTTTTTCCTTTTAATCTAAGATGACTTAGGTTTAAAAAATAGGAAAGAAATGAGGGAGAGAAGGAGGGAACAGACACCTTTTCAACAGAACACCCTGAAAAGCACATTTTCAGCCAAGACAAGTACCTTCTGGAAAAAACCAAGCACCTTTCAGACAACAGATCACCTTGAAAAGCACCTTTTAAATCAAGACAAGCCAAT